CGATAGAATTAGTTTAATAACCACGTTATAAGAATTCGGATACTGTAATAATCGCCCGAATATGATGCTTTTAAATCTTTTAGGAAAAATCTTGAAATGACCAAGGCACGTGTTTCCGAAATCACAGCATTTAGAAAGGTTTCAGCTGAAAATTTGCTCAACTGGATAATGAGAATGACTTATCGTCTATTTATTACTAAAATGGAGCGTCCCTTGAATGCACGAAGGAAAAAATTATCAACAACAAAGAAATGCTAACGCATGCTTTTTTTTACACCGCTAATTTTAGATAATATTCTAAAATCTTATCGCGTTCTTAATTAAGTGACTTTTTTTGCAGTGAATGTAGATGCACTTGTATGCACTTCTTCAGAGTTAATTTCTGCAGTTTCTCAAAACCTGATGCTAATTCTGGACAAACGAATCCCCGGTAATGAAGTGGTTTGAGGCCCGAAATGAGGCGAGTGTTCCTGCAATTTTACTTGCCAGCGAGCATGCCAATTAAGATCTGTCAAGAGACGGGTCCCACAAATGGCTCTTCTTATCAGGCTCTAAATAATGGAAGTCAAGAGGAGACAAAAGCGACCGTTTTGGTATTTTTATCGTCTGATCTTTGCTAGCAGTAAAGTCTGTTCTTTCTTCATATATTTCAAATTTTTTAATATCTCGTTCAAATTTATTTCATGGATTGCAAACCACATATATTGTATATTTAATATTATATCTAGTCGAATTTAAAGTTTTTTAACAAATCAGCCACCAAATCAGTTGGTGCATTTTCCGCATAAAGAAGTGGCAATAAAAGCACCAAAGTTGGCAGATTTGAATGATGCAAAGTCATAAACTCGTAAATCCCCATCACCCTGACACTAGAGTAAATTAGCGAGCAGACGTCAGCTTCGATGAGTCTCACCGCAGAAATCAAATTATGATGAACGGCCCTCACGATATTTTGCGAATATATCGGCTAGAAATCCTTAGTACGATCTTTGAATTAATTCTAAAATACATTAGGACATAGGNAGAGGAGACGCTGTTTGACGAACTTCCCTGTAAACAAGAAATGTATATTACGTGTCAATGAAAAAAATATATTAAGTACAAATAAACGAGAAGTATATTGCTAAGTCAAAACTTATGCAAGACAATTTGCGAGGAAACTAAGTTACTGTGAGTCTGAAAGCTACTTGCCGAAACAACATTTTCCGACGGTCGAAATTGACCGCATATGAAAGCAAAAAAAAAAAAAAAGAAGGAAAGCTGCCGTCGCTAAATTCTCCGCCTTTGCTGCAATTTAAATTTTATTACATGTCGATTCGCTAGTAAAACGTTTTCGCAGATGGAACGATATGAAGTTATCTAAATAGCTATCACTTTCACAATCATGCTTTTGATCATATAGCCAAGCATTCTTCTGGAAATATTAGGAGGTAAGTTGTTCATAAAAAATATTTGCTATGCTAAAAAATTCAATCTTACATGCAGAATACTTAATTTCACTCCTAGAATATTCGAGTTTGTTGAATTCTGTTAAACAGGACTACATAAATACTTGCATCCTATTCAGCACAGGCAATTACCACAAGAAGCTAAAGTCAGACCATGGAGGTGGATTAAAACCTGCTTTGCGCAACGTGCTTTCCGCGAGATTGCCATCCGTATTCCAAATTTTACCGGGCATATCTGCGAGGATTAAATCAGGGCCGGAATGAAATTTAGTGAAGGCCAAGCGTTCGTAATCAGAGTTCACAGTTGCCAGAATTTTTACTCGTAATTACTCGCTCTCAGGCCTGTGGCGGTCTGCGCTAACGAATCTGTGACAGTTTTTTCTGGCTAGCTGCTCATTAAGTACGGAAAAACAAGCTCAAAGTTTTAAGCAATACTAAAGCTCGGCTGGAAATTCTCAGCCGGCAAGAAGGTAAAGTATGACGGGGAAAGACAAATCGTAAACCTGGAATAAGATTCTATATTTTGCTTTCAGTAATTTCTTCTGCAGATCTATTTAGAGGAATTTTTATGTAGGGTAACTGTTTTTGATGAAAATCAGATTTCAGGTTCATAGTATTTAACGATTTTCTTGGATGGGAAATTAATATATAATAGACAAAAACCAAGCTCTAAAGAAATTTAGGTGTTTGAATGTATATTTAATACTAGGTACGCTTAATAGAATTAGGCCATTGGATAAAATAATGATGCATATTTTTCATGTTCTGCGCAAGATATACAGGAATATCACAGGAAAGATCTCACATTAAACGATGGAAAGTGTGAGCTAGCTGAGTTAAATTGCATTGTTACAAGTTGAAAAAATATGTAAAGCTGGGCTAAATCTACTGAACAAAATAGCCTTTTACGTTGCTAGTATACTAATAAATAAGAGCCATGGATTCAGGAGAGCTTGTATACGAATGTGATTATTTCCACTTATGGGGAAAAATGAAAAAAATTCATTTAAATGCATTCTCAAATTGATGCGTTGCAGTTACTATCGGTATATGCGTCTGAATTTGATAAGAAAAAACTTTAATAAAGTTGCTCCCGCGAAGTTTCTCTTAACTTTAAGATTTACGAGCAGTCGTACTGGAATGTAGTAGATTAAAGCAGTTATTTCTCTATGTTATTCTGCGGCATATATTTCCATACTTGTATAGCTAATTTGATACGTAAAAAATTGAATATTTGCAACGTTGCCTTTCATTAATAAGGCAATTAGTAACCTTTTTTTAATCTTTCCTCGCCAGCAAAAAATTTCGTTAGCCTCATTGAAAAAAATTAGAAAATTGTTAATAAAAAGCATTCACTGTTCTTCAATCAAACTTTCATAAATTGTAAGAAAAATCTGGAGTATCACATATAAATCTGAGTGCATCAAAGACGTACTCTAAATCACAGCCTGTACTGAGAGAAATGAGTGAAACTGTGTCCAAATAACGATGCATTTGAGTGGGTCATCCTGACCCAGTTTGGCACCGGCATAGGACAGACAAGAATGGCCCGCTTCTGTTTTTTTTTCACCTAAAAAAACCTAGCCAAAAAGTTATATATATATAACCCTCCGCCAACTCGCAAGTTTCGTCCAGTCCGGTCAAGGTTTCATTAATTTTCCTATGGGGATAAATATATATAACCGAACCTTACCTGACCTAACCTAACGTGCGAGTTTTTGTACCATAAGGTTCATATTTTGACAGCGCGCAGACGCAGCAGTGCTACGTCCGTTCTTAACTCGTGTCGTTGGTGAGAAAGTGTACTGATATTTGGACAGTATGGCTCATTAAGTTTAATGTGTGTACAAGTTTATGAAGACTTACGTGGCCTAAAGATAACATGCAAGGTTAATTATGCAGTACAAACCGAAGCAGCATCATGATTTATTGATGATTTGTTCTGATCAAAAGCATGTCGATAATGGGCTGCAATTTAAGCTCCGATTTTCAAAGCACAGGATATATTTAAGACTTCAAGGCTCAGCATTGTTATTAACTACAAGTCATATTAAATACAAGTGTTATTAAATACAAATGTTAATAACGCTAAAACTTATTTTATCAGCACACGTTTGTGGGATGGGACCTCAAAAAAGTATATACCTAGAATTGTATATTGATCAATTGAATCGACTTCGGTTGTTTGAAATTCTGTGATGGAACTGGAACTACTAATAACACTGTTTATTTTTCGTTCATAACACTGCCTCCAACACTGTCATATATTTTATATTTGGGGCTCTAAATAAATTTTTTTAATTCTAAACAACCGCAAGTTTGTCATCATAATATTTATCGTTTGTAAATATTCGCGTTTGTGGTGAAAATTTTTAATGGATTAAAATAATTCCTCATTTTCGACAAGAAAACGTGAATTTTAGGAAACAAATAACCTTATCGATCTTTAAATTTTATTATTCCGAGAAATTATTTACTTAAAATCAGTATACATATATTTTTATACACTTTTTGGTATACGATTACTAAAAAATTTGAATTTTTTTCGCCACGACCTTCGTTTCAATGTCATCCACCATGCAGGGTATTTTGGTAATAAAAGGCTACGCTAATATCACAGGATGAAACGGTGTCATGGTATCACTTAAGTTCATCACATTCCATTGAACAAGTTATTACTGTTCATTCCATTCCCGTCGAACATTCTATTCCGAAGCTGTCCGGCTGACGAAAAAAAGCGGGAGTTTGCATTTCACAAACAAACAAGTTTCGAGTCAACATTCAAAACAGTTGCCACTGAGAGCTACATTTTTAGTTTCATGACGAATCGGAATGAGTGTTTCTGGCCCTGCTGTGTTGATTTTTGCTGTGCGACCTCGATGAAAATGTGTGTGTTTTTTACTGAATTTTATTGGCATACAGTATGACAATAAAGTATTACAGCATTGAATTTGTTTCATTAATACAGAGTATCAGCTATACAATTAAACTTAAACTTAATTGTATCAGCTATACAATTCAACTTAATTGGGAGCAAAATCCAGGTTGTTTTTATTTTTGAATTTAAAAACTGAATTGAAGGATAGTTGAATGGTAAATAAAAAGGAATAATTATTAATGAAGGAATTCATTAGTGGTTTGTTACAGACTTTTCACAGACTAATTAATTAACAAACACATGCTGCAGTTTCGAAAACAAAAATTTTCCGGCAAACTAATTTCTGGAGTTGCAATAAAGTTTCGATAATTCGTTTAATAATTAAAATGCCTTTATCAAACAAGCTTTTATGAGGGGTCAACAGGAATCTAGGAAAACAGGAAATCACTTCTCGTTATTACACTCGTTATTATTAGAAAATAATTCGTAAATATTAATAATCCACTCATCTTTAATTCCATTGTATCCAAATTCAATAAACTTTTCGAATGTTTTACCGCAAACCGGTTTAGTTGTGGCTGTTGAATCATTTAAACTATATTTCCTGCATCAGGCCCTGTTTTGATTCAACCATTGGTTCCATGGATTTATTTCCACAATATTTCTCTTCTCAGGGCCGATCAACTTCAGCGCCGGTAAGCGTTGGACGGAATGGAACGACGAAGAGGCTGTGGTCCTGGCAACGGACGAAGTGAACGTCACCGCCGCGGAGGGACAGACCGCTGCGCTGCCGTGCCGCGTGATTCATCTCAACGATAAGAGGGTGGGCAAGGAAGCGTGTTAAATTAATCGGGTAATTTAGCGTGATTGGGTATATTATTTTAAAGTGGCCTTAGTAATTAGTTAAATATAGACTCAACTATTATTTCATGGTGGATTGATCTTTTATTTCAGTATGACCTGAGTGTTAGGTGACTGTAGATTGAGTTATTTTTTTTGTTGCCTGGTTTATTAGTTAATTGTTAACTAAACCATTATTTGGTCGAGGTCCTTCTTTATTGGGATATTTATTTTAAACTGAGCTATTATTTGATAATGGCTTGAGTGGTCACTTCATTGTAGACTGAACTTTCATTTTTTGTGGCTTGAGCTATTATTTAATTGTCGACTTTTTTGGGGTGAAATTGTGTTCGGCGCATTGCATTTGTTGTCTTCCAGATTATATACATATACTCTATAGATTTATTTTAATTACCTTTTTCCAGATTCTCAGAAGTAGCAATTGGTCGTACGTTTAGGAGTATATTTCTTCATCACAAAATTGTTTAAATCATGAAGGAGAATTTATTTAATATCAAATTCCAACGTTTTCATCTTCAGCTAAGTAATACGCAGCCCACTCGTATCCTGATAAGGATTGAAGTGTGGGAGTAGAAGTTCTCACTCGCGCGATAAGGAGTTAAATCATTTCATTTCGTCTCGAGGCTTCAGCAGCCCTCTCATTACCAGATAATCTTCTCCTGGGCCGCATCATTTGAATCACTCACGGAGTGACTCAAGCATTTGGCTATCTGATATTTTCAAGTGCTCCTAGACTCTAATAAGCCGAACTTAAACTATGTAGGTTGTGGTTCAAATGATAAAATTTATTATGGGTTGAACTGTAGGTGTGAGGTTTTTAATGTTTACAAACTTAAAAATAAATGTAAACAGAGGAAATATGAAAATTAGTTCCGTATTTTTTACCGTATGAAGTCTATCAGCATTCAAGTATGATGTCGTGTTATTAGGATTTGGTTACCGTTCAAAATTACCGTTCAAAATGGAACCCCACCAACAGGGTGGGTAACAAATTTCATTATCTACAGCAAAATTCAACATAACAAGAATCAAATCCCGGATACTCGCACGTGATTAAGTCTTTCAGTGTGTAGATAAAGCGCTTCACTGAACTTGCACGGTGAATCTGTCGAGAACGTTACGTCGTAAACTGAAACTGAACAACTAGTTTTATGCAGCACTTGAGAAGGCTATACGGGTCCCCGTATAATCTGTTAATATGGAGCGCGAGATAGGTTTGTTGACACTAATATGCTCACAGACCTCTCACGGTATCTCTTAGTGCATCATTCAGTCTCTAGAGTTCACTTTGGACGTGAGGCCAAACACTGCTGGCCGCTGAGGTGAAGTAAAAAAATTCTTGAGGTTGCTTATAAATTTTAGGCATGTTTTCTTAGATATGGTCACTAATGTGGATAAATAAGTAAAACGATTTAAATATAGTGCTTTAATATATGTTACCAACCTCAGCGGCGCTCATATAAATAATAATTTTGCTTAGAAGAATATTTAAGACTGGAAAAGTTTTAATAGCAAGAAAATTCGATTGCTGTAGTAATTAATATACCTCAAAAAGATAGCTAATGATAAATGGTTTTCGCGCGATTTCTGCAAAAATACATATAATAACGTTACGAAAACGAATTTCTCAGAAGTTTTCATGCTTTGCTGGCTTTGAAAAGTTACGATGCCAGGCCTCACTCAGCTCGATCTTGGCTATGCCAACAAATATCTTGAGAGCTGCTGAAAATCCTGATATTTGTGAAAAACATAGATTGAGTGCAAACATCGTCGGCAGGATGATCCCCAGTCTAAAAGTGAAGCCAATTTAGCGTCGATGCCGCGACTTGTGCTGTGATGCTGAGTCGCTCCTGAACTACCAAACCTGTCAGTAGTTTTCTCAGCAGCACAGAAATTTCTTCGAGAATTGTGCATTGGAAAACTTATTGGCGTCTCCTCGCGTGAAAATTGACAGCGTTGACTCTGTGCTCAGTGAAAAATTTTGGGACAGGGACAAAATCAAAGACTAAACGACGAAATATATGATTTGAGATTCAAATGTCGAAAAATTTCATAGCGGCAATGCAATGTATACTTCAATTTTTATTATTAATGGAAATAAATTTACTTTTATCTTTTGAATAACATAATTTATTCATGAACACGTTGTATTCGAGTATACAAAGTACAGTAATTCTCTTATGAGTATATCTCTTCAACTGAGAAATGTAATCCCAATTTTAATAATCTTTTATTCATTAGTTATCTATACACTGGCCATATAAAAATATCTCGCTAATTTTACTTGAGCTTGAGTTTGTCAATTTAAAGTGCAAAAATATTGGAACGATATTGCGTTAACGTTCCTCGCTCCTAGTCAAAAAGATCTCCATTCGAATTTTTAGAGCAGCGACACGAAATTCGAGCAGCTTGTAAAAATAAAGGCTTTGCATATATTAACAAAAATGTAATTTACGACATGATTTCCCCACACTATGTTTACGCTATTAGCAAGACATGCTAAAGCTTCTTTCTGTTTTGGTAATATTTATTTCATTTCATACGAAGTCGCGTTACCCTGAATTGAGTACGAACTTTCAGTGTAGCATAAATCGTAAGGTTAATTGTTGCAGTCCAGTGTAAAAATTGTACAGGATCTCTTAAGGAATTCTTTAATTCGTACAGAAAAGTAAACGAATACGCGGTATCTTAAAGGTTATTCAACGATTTCTGAAATAAATTTAAAACATAGTAGGTATAAGAAGTAAATGTAAATAAATCTAAAAAATTACTTGTTTCCATATTCGAAGTTAATAAATCATAAATAAATAGAGAATAAAAATTCTTCAGAATTTTTATTAAAAAAGAATTAAAGAATGAATAATAATAATAATTTTTATTATTAATAATTAATAATTAAAAAGATTATTAAAGAATGATAAGCTCATCTGACAGAATAACTGCGACCTGTCGAGCTCACACAGGTAAACTCCGTCCTTAAACGTCAGCTCAGAAGTAATGTGTAACATTGCGCTTTAACTCAAATATATAAGTAAATTGCTATGGCGCAATGCAAAAATCAAGAGGTTTATTTTTACAGTGCAGTACAAAAATATATAAGTAAATTGTTATGGCGCAATGCAAAAATCAAGAGGTTTATTTCTATAGTACAGTACAAAAATATATAAGTAAATCGTTATGGCAATGCAAAAGTCAAGGAGTTTATTTTCACAGTACAGTACAAAAATATACAAGTAAATCATTATGGTGTAGTGCACCAAACTATTATTAAATCGTTAAAGGGCAGGACGCGACTCTATCAGTTAATCTATACATTGCTGTGCACAAATGTTGTTCTGTGTGAAAGCAACTGATCAATGGGTGATTTTTAAATTCACATTAGAATAGAAACGAATAAGAAACTAAAATTTATGTAACCTTATAAATACACTAATTTAGGAGATATGTATATTAATTACCGATGCTGCCAACTACATTTGAGCTAATTGAATGAAATAGAATTGTTCCATACAACTAAATGCGTTCATTGAATATTTAATGCTCTAACATCGCATGTAATGTACGCGAATCTCAGTGAGTATATACAAGCGATTCCCAGTGAGTATATACAAGCGATTTTTAGTGATTATGTACACGCGATTCTCAGTGGGCATATAGACGCGATTGTCAGTGAGTATCTACACGCAATTCAAGGGAAAGAAAACGATCCAATTCAAAGCCAGTAATTGGAACGGACTCTTCAGGAGAGATTTATTTTGGCTAAGGCATTGGTATTCGGAAAAAGGATCATCTTCGTGAGCTGCCGTTGTAGGAAGTGCGACGAGGCTGACAAGATTCGGTTGCTGACTTCAAAAGGATCTGAGCCTGCGGCTTGATCCGCCTTCTCTGCGTAAAATTGAAAATCTTCTCGGTTCTTCGATGAATCTTCATCGATGACAGCCAAACATTTTTCCTTAGCGGATTTGCTAACAGGCAACGAACTACGAAGCTGTCAGGTAAAGGTTCAGCGCAGGATAAATTTATCAACAAAAATACTCAAAAAAACACGTGAAGGTTCGAAACTTCTAAAAGAGTTGTGAGATAATATTTTGTGTGATTTCTGTAAGAGAAATTTAACTTATTATCTTTTCCGTCGCTCCTATTTTGTGGCAGTCTCATATAATGGGGCCGGAATTCAGTAACTACTAAGAAATTTGTAAAACTCTTAAACATAAAGAACTTTTTGGCGCTCGTCCTCCGCAACAGACCAAGGCCAAATACTTCGAGTAATCCTAACACCAACGAAGCGTTAAACAAGAAAGTTCAATGCTTTTCTCTGCGTTCCAGAGGACCTTGTCCAATCGAAATTCGATAGAATTTAAGAGTCTTTTCTTCGAACCTCCAAACTACTTCAGATTACCGTCAGTCGCTAGGAAATTCTACGGTAAGTCATTTCATCAGTATTTCCTTTAATTCAAACGATATAGCCTGAAAGAAAATTCCTTCATTTAGTAACTATTTAATATATTTTATTTTTCGTACTTTAGGCAGATGATTAGACCTGAGCTCAAGGTTATAATGTTAGTTTAAACAGATTTCTTTTAAATTATTCCTGTCAACTGGAATAAAATTTAATGATATATAGTATCATACTTATATGATAGTATGATAGTATATCAAAGTATGTATGATATATACATACTTTATAATATCACTAATTATATAAAATTTTTTAAATAATATACTTATCAATCTACAAACTTGTAACAATTCAACATGCTTAATGGGGACAAAAAATATCAGAGAAATATAAATTTGCTGAACTGACAAGTGGCGAATGAAAATTTTTTCACCCGAATAGAAAAGATTCTCAACAGAGTCAAAATTTTTTCAAGGTGATTCATCCAGAAGAAACTGGCGACTGGATATTAGAGATCCGCACGTCAAGCCTCCAGGACTCAGGTGCTTACGACTGCCAAGTCAACACCTACCCTAAGAAGTCCACCCGCGTCAACCTCCAAGTCCTCTCCAAAGAGGGTGAGTTAAACTTAACTCTCAGATAAAGTACGCACTTTTTTGTAATTATAAATAGAATTAACAATCCATTGAAAAATCTCTCAGAGTAGGTAATCATGATTTTCGCAGAAGGTTCAGTTAATGAGTTTTATAGTGTAAATATCATAATGGGCAAGCATTAATTCAACTCAATGAATTTAATGGAAAACAAAAGCAAACAACTGTGTCAGGAATAATTATAATTTTAAATTTTCAGTACATTTTCCGATTAAGGCATTTATTTTCACTCAATAATGACATTTAGTCAGCATGAACTAGAAATTTATTCGTCGTAAATGCAGAGCCAGTTTTTCTGTTTACTCACAGACTCAGGAGTTTACTTGCAAATGCCAGCCTCGGACAGCAGGGTGCCAAGGAGATATCAAAGCGAGAAGACCTACATACAAGGTTTACAAACTTCCCATTGAATGTATCCTGATGATATCACTTGAATATGCAATTAGAGGAGCCACTTACTTCCAATTTTCTTACCAGCTTCCGTAATGAAATTAGATAGAAGAAACGAACGTATGCTATTAACCAATCATATTTGACCTGAAGAACTGGGTCGGTATGGTGGTATCTGTGTCAGTACAAATTAAGGTCTTGATTCAGACAGAGAAAGATGAGAGATAGACAACGATGATTAATTATATTTTTATTCACTAGGTTCTTCAGAAACGAAATATCCTGTGACTAGCAAGGCCTCGCAAGCGTCGGTACCGAAGGCCATTACACTGGACATCATAGGCCGGGGTTGGGCAGAGGTCCACGTTGGCAAGGCGTTAGGTCTTACATGCGAAGCGCACGGAGACAATCTTGCAGAAGTGCATTCATCATCCCGGGCCTCTGAAAATCCCCTCATTGAGTGGACACTCGATGAGGTGCCTGTCACTCTGCTCTTTGATAAGGAAAAGGTGAGACAAGATTGAACTTTGAGAGCCTCCTAGTAATCAGGAGAAGGCAGGATTATTTTCCAAGAGCAAAAGGGGTCTTATGTTAAGAATTCTGTAATGTGTCCGGACATGAGGAAAACGTCCCCCTCTTTTTGCAAATAATTCCGGATATTTTCAAAACATGCAGTTTGTCAACAGTTGGTATTACGGCTGTTTCACTCGTGAAGTATTACGGATGTTTTCAAAATGTTTTACTCGTGAAATATTTTGGCAATAGGCATTTTATTTGATCTCCCAGCATGCCCTAAGCAACGATAATTGTCTTCGAAACATTTTTGATAAAATTGACAAACCTATTCTAAATCTAGAATAGTATAGGTCTAAAAAATCACTAATTTACATAGTTCAAGCGATTAAGTTTTTTACGCATTACCTAGTGTCCTAGAACTAAATTTTAAATGGAAATTGTGAAAATAATAGCAACGGCTGTAGATTCAGCTTGGTGTCAGGTAAAATATTCTCACATTGTTTTTAATTAGAAAATAGTTTTCCAAATTAAAATGTATATATTTTTGATTTTAACAAACTTTTTTTAAATTTATATATAACAAAATTGTTTAAATAAATTTTGCTCATGAAATTTTATCGAAGTTAACATAATCTTCTTTCATTAAAATGACAAGTCGGGACTTAGAAAGCTTCAGGCCTCTAACTGAACTTGATTTAATTTTTAGGTAGAAGTTCACGAAAGTTGGCGGGGTGATCTGGTGGTCTCACAGCTGACGCTGTACGACCTCACGATTGACGACAGCGGAATCTTCGGCTGTCACGCACCTCATGCCGCAGCCCAGACCATCCCAGTGACGGTCCTCAGAGCGGGTATGGGCTCTCAGGAAAAGACAAAAATGTTTTCAAATTGAAGAAAAATCAGTTAAAAATGCTAAAAGTACATGTAAAAAAATTGAAAATACATGCAAAAAATTGCATGTAATTTTGATCTCAAGTAGCGAACAAAAAATAACTTCTTGTTGTTTTACAGGCTAAATGTTTGGAAATAACTTTAACTCGCATTGTAATTATAGCATGATATTTATATGTTTAAAAACTTTAGAATCTATCGCGAAAATGCAATTGGAACTTCACTAACATTAGAATTAGGAGGATTTGATCACAGACATGACCTCGTTATATGAAACACGCGCAAGATCTCCAGGTAATCTACAGATTTCATAATATCAGCATCAATACATTTATCGTATTTTTGACGAGTTTCGTCTCTGGAAGCTAAAATAATCGTAAACCTTTCTATCTAACATTGCTGTAATATTAAATGTATTTAATCAATATTTTCATTATTTTCGTCTCTCAGGCAGCACTGCATACCTGGAGAGCATCAACAAATACGCACGACGCAAGGGATTTGAATCGCAATTCCCCACAGATTCTTGGCCAGTCAAAAAACCGCCACAAAACGACGCGGCAGAAACTCCACCACAGCCCGTGGCCGACCAACACTTGGTGCCTTCCAAAGCTCCTGCATGTACCAGCAATAAAGCGATGGTTATTTCAGGCGCTGTTATGCTCTTCATCATGATCGTGAATTCTGCCATTGGGATTGCAATGTATTGCAAGACTCACTAACGCTATTGACGATTGTTTCAATTGCGATACCAGTACAACAAAATGACTGCAACTGATCTTGTCCGTTTGTTTGATATTACGAGGTTAGTTTAAGTTAGTAGTTGTATCTTCTCTAGGTTAGGATATTATATACAAACTGCTCCTTAGAATTACAATATGAATACTGAGTAAAATTGAAGTACAACTATACAATTTTCTTAGTTTTTAGGCTTTTAAAAATTTACATGATTGATAACAGAAGAATATTTCTTATCGAACGGATTTCATGACTTTTGAGAGAGTTTTCTTGGATGTTCCAAGACCTCCTGCCTCAGAGAGGCATGCTTGCAAAAAATTAGGATTTCTAAATCAAATAAAAATTAATTTCAATACTAACCTTGCCTTAGATGTCAGTTTTAGATGTTTAATGTCGTTAATATTTTTTCGAATTTATTAATGAATTTAAATTGAAAATTCGTTGCTAGATTGAATTTAAAATGAGATTAGAGTTGATTATCTGCTGTTATGTTTTAAATAATTGAGCGGCAGACTCTGTTCCCATGTTATAACGTAGCTAGGTTAAGGCTTAGTCAGCTTCTTGAATAATTTCACGTTAATTTTCCAATTCCCTCAGGTGCGTTCGACTTTTCTTTTGTCTGATATTGATTATATTTTAACGAAAAATTATTTATAAATTAAAACCTAAAAGCATCTGCGGCGAATATTTATCCTTTATGATTTTCATATCGTGGTTCGGTTTATTTCAGCATCTTATGCATGCATTAATAATTTTTTTATTTACCTTGCGATTTCTTAATGGATTAAAATGGGAGGAGTTTGGGTTTGCGTCGAGCTTGACTGCATTCCTTTTACGCTGGAAACTCGGTTGTGCTGCAATGGAGGCCGCTCCATTATTCAATTTTTTGACTCGAGAGGAACAAATCTGCACTAAAATCTTTATGAATATTCGCGATAGTGAACATTCATAGATAAGATTGAATTTTGTCGGCTGAAAACCTAAAAAAACATAATTGGCTGAATGATGTTGACACATTGATTTCCTATATTTTACGGAAAGGGGCATACCAGATGCATTTTGCATTTCATAGCAGCCATTAAAGTTTCAGCAGTCTCTTTAGAATATCGCATGAACTATAATAAGACTGGTGCACATGGTCAGGTCAGGAATTTTGGTAGCCTCATTTCCTATGATATACAAAACATCTAATCCGACGTGAGCAACACAGCAGCAACATCACTGAACACGGCAAGAACACTCAAAGATGATTGTATTTCGCCAGAGAATTTTGGGTTAACCTCATTTTTCATGATTACCCCCGGCATCAGGCCGCATTCTGGTTCTTCTCGGGAAAAAGCCAGGTCTTTGCAATCAATCACGGTTCGGTGGCATGGCTCTCAGGCTCACGGGAACGACTTTCTAGAATCCTACTTTTTAAGTCAGCCACCTAGCTTGCTTTTGCCACGGAAAAATTCCAGACGAAAAGAAATTCACTAAGCCCATGAATGAGGAACTGTGAATAGAAGAGGCTTGGCTCGAAATGTAGCTGAGCCTAAACGTTATTTCTTCCTAGCATAATTCCTGAACACTGAAGACTATACAAAATTAAAATGTCATGTGAAGAATGCAGCCCATAATTTCTCAATTCAAGCTTATTTCAGCTAATGAAATTCGCCGTTAAATACTTAAAATTAATAAAATTTACATCGAGCTAACACGCAGCAAAACTAAACTGAAACAGAATCAGCTGGATTCAAAGCATCATGTATGAGAAACAAAAATAACAATCAAGTCATATTATTAATTATATCATGACGTGTGCATATCATAGCATGTTCAAAATAAGACGTTGTAGCAATGTAACATGATTATTATTGCAGATTCCGGTAAATCATGAACATTTTCGCGTAAATCAAGACTACTTTCACTCTCCGAAATACAATTATTTTAAAATAAAATAAAGTTCTTAACAGATACTGTAGGAGCAAAAATTTGGGATCGCACGAACGCACCGAAAAAGAATAGTGCACAACGTTTCGAACGGTGTCGAAAGGCTTTAATTTTGACTCGATAAATGAGGTCAAAAATTCACAATTTTTAGGTGAATAAATGGAAAAATTCTAGACTGCGTCAGCAATGCATTATAACTTGATAATTTGAAGACTCCTTATGTTATCTTATCACAGTCCGCAACATTTTATTCATTGGAGAAGTGACGGGTAACCTTTGATTAAAATTTTAACCGCGTCAAACTTCTAAACTCAGTAGTGCGACCTTTACTTTCAGGGAATAAATCTATATATTTAATATCTCCAATATCGTTTCGTCTGCCGAGTTACTTCAAATGCTGACCAAAAACTTCCATTGATATAAATCATCAATGATTTACGATGATGATGATTTTTGTAAATCATCGATGATTTACATGATGTTAAACATCTCAGTATCACTGTCATCATATACTATAGACGTAACTCACTGAAACCATTTATAAATGTTATATTAATAAATATTGCTACACATTTTTTCCTGCTATGATGCATGAGGTGATAATTTACATCTCTTCACTTAAAACCAACCATCACAGATAGCTACGAAATACTGTTGCAAGCTTCATACGTTTTACTCGACAAAAAAGACAACCTCGTCAAAAGAAATCTTCAGTTTAAATTTTGGATGCTGAGATATCATTCAGAAAAATGTTGATAAAAAGAAGCCGGTTCTTATCTCAATTGGTCTGTTGAAAGAAGTTAATTCACTCAGTTAATCAAATACTCTGCTTTCTGTTTAAACTGATATGATTCAACCAGATTTTGAAAAGAGATACCTTCTTATTAGAGCTAAATCGTGCTATTACTATATGAATTTATAAGGAGAATGCAACAACATAAATAATATATTATTCTTCGAAATTCGCTAATCATGGCTTCAAATGTAAATAACCTTTGCGTCATTGAAGTTCTAAAGAAAGTTATATGGTACAAAGATATTACTTGAAATATATTTCGAGGCTTGGTGATTTGCCATAAAATACTTTTACAAATTTAAGTCATCGATGGAATTCTGTATTTATGGCAATAAAAATAATTGTGGCTAGTTTGCAATAAATAAAAACAGCACGAACACGTTTTAAAGATTTTACTTCTCGGAGTCTAGCCTCTTAAAACTCAATTGAACTGTCACGTTCAATATTCGTTCGCCGAGCGCAGACTTAACTTACACAAGATGTGAAGACATTTCTCTTAAACCTTACAACCATTCGACTTCTGACTTATATATCAGAGGCATAGTAATTCATTGTACTGGTTAAATTATCAATGTCATTTGATGCGAATCTTACGGTTGACAAAAAATTCAATGAAAATCTCTGAATATTATGAAATAATGAAATATATTACATGTAATAAATGATAATGTAATATATTATATAATGTTATTGAATATATTATTATAATATTATCTTAACATCATATAATGTTCTGTAACTTGAAAAGTCTCTGGTTTTAACATACAAAAAGACAGTCCTATGCTTGGTGCTGGGAGCAATTTCAGTTCCAGAGTTCAAATCTCCAGCATTACTTCGTCTATGTCAAAATTAAATTATTAAATTTGTGCTTGAGAATTGAGAAAATATTGAAAAAAAATTCCATCTTTGGAAAACTGTGGAAAAACTTTAAAACTTTAAATTTTTTTAAATCTTGAATTAAAAACAAATAAGAGAAACCCGAAAGACGGGAGGTTATCTTGAATCTTCGTTGTCGTGGTCCAAATGAAATTAAAATTTCTGCAGGATTTATTAGAGGAAAGTCTGGAATAGTTTCACTTCATTAGCAAATGGAGGCCCAGGCTGGGGCCCTTCACTGGTAATTGGTTTGCTAATGGACCGCAGCTGACTTCTATTCCAATAATCAAATGCCGACGCATATTATTTAGTCTGCCATGAAATATGGTGGCGTCCTTACCTCTAGCTGGAGTCCTCGTTTTTCTGGTTTTATGCTGGAATTTTCTATATTTAACATTATTTTTCCGTTTTTAGGGAATTGGGTGAATGTAGATTGGATGTTTTATCGCAAACATCATACAACATTAACAATTTCATTCCACCTCACATTTTGAAGTTTACAAAGAAACAGGCTCAGTTTTGTATGCGAAAAGATGATTTGTAGGTGCTAATATTTTTTTTGAGCATTGCTGAAATCAAATTAAATCAAAGCAAGATTTGAAAATAATTTTAATGACAAAATTTAGAGAATTATTTATACTCTTTCAGTAGCGTCAGGGATAATTTTTGAATTCACTAATTTTCAGAATAAATCAAGACCACGTACGAAAAATAAGTTATAGAGAGCATTGTTGTATTGAAGCACTGAAATTATCAGCGAATTCAAGGCATTTCAAGCAATAATTATCCCTTTATGCTCATATAAATTCAAAGTAAGCGCCTTTCTCGCAAAATATCCCTAAGATTTTAGCATTCACGAAGCCTAATAATGACTTCCCAAAAACAATAATTTTCGTTTGAGATTCTCTGGCTAAGCTAGAATTTTGAGGATGACTCTTACTAGGGAATTGAATGGGCCCATTTACGGTCATTGCTCTTGTAGCAGCTCGTTCAATTGGAAAGGGGTTCTTGGGAGACAATTTAAATGGGAATTGAGCAGACAATTTCCGTTCAAAAAAGTTAGAGCCAGAAGTGGTGGTAGGCTAACGGCTGTCGACTTATGTCCATTTATGTAGGAATGAATGAATATGAACGGCAGGGAAGTTAGATAACCTAATTTGATGCTACTTGATATTCATATTGAATAATATTTCGCTCTTATTTCTTTTGGGAAATTCCTCGATGTTTTGAAAGCAAATGGAAAGAATAAAAAGCCGTGTTTTTGTTTTATAGGCTATAATTTAATAGGTTATAACGTCTGATAACGTCTGTTAGCAGATGTACTTGCAGAAAAAATTATTGAAAGCAAATGGTAGTCTGTTACCTGACGATAAAATCAGAAGAAACAGTAGCAGATTAAATGTGGCTCAGTAAACTAAAGGAAACAAAAGTTTTTATCGTTAAAATAGACTAATTTAATTTTGAAGCTGATATTTCAAGTAAACGTCAGCAATTGGTGGCTATGTGTCAATGGACCGGCTTGATTCGGTTACGTTATAATACTTCCTGAAAACTTTGCCTCTAATTATTATTGAGGTTGAATAAGAGTCGACTTTATACTAGCACGATTCAGTTATAATTTTCCAAGAGGTAAGGTTCCAGAATCAACGAGAGAAGGTAGCTTATCCTGATGCGGCTGCCACAGTAACAGGCTTAGCGATCTAAAAGTTTGTAAACTTAGGAAGCTTTGTCGCTGCAGCCGTCACAGTTTGTTAGACGACAAAACAGAGCTTCTTATGCTATATAAAGGTAGGAAAGGGTAATGAGGTTCAATCCCTCAAATTTAGGGCATCTTGTATTATAAGGGCAAGTAATCGAATATAAAGCATATAAAATGAGAATTGAATACCACAGAAAATACCAGAGAAAATGAATTCTTGATATTTTAATTGAAACCAAACATTTGAAAGCCACGTTGATCACCTATGCTATGTGAAAATTAAAACTGGAAAATATTTCATGAAAAAAATTTATAAGTCTGGTAAGATATAATAGATAACTTTTCTACAATCAACTTCTGGAACGTATTCAATTTGTCGCTGCAGCCGTCACAGT